ATATGTTAATAAAACTATGGGACATGGGTTTAGTCGAGAATATGTTAATAAAACTATGGGACATGGGTTTAGTCGAGAATGTGTTAATAAACTATGGGACATGGGTTTAGTCGAGAGTGTGTTAATAAACTATGGGACATGGGTTTTATAGTTTATTAACACACTCTCGACTGGAACATGGGTTTAGTCGAGAGTGTGTTAATAAAACTATGGGACATGGGACTTCAAGGAAAAATCACATTTGTAGTTGCCCTCCAGTGGCTCAGCGGTTAGTGTGCAAGCTTACGACGCTAAAATTCGGGTTTCGATGCCCATGGTGACCAGAACAAAGATAGTTCATTGTGTAGCTCTGTGTTTAACAGAAATGAAAGGAATACATTTGTTAGTTCATTCCTTCGTTAAGCGGATTAAGAGTGTGACGTCTATAAGATTTTTTTTTTGTTATTCACCGTGCAGTTCTACCAAACAAAAGCAAAATGCCACACTAATAAGCATACTTAACTTAAAATGCTAGAGCAACAAAACAACCGAACTAAATGTAATAGAATGGGTACAATTAACACCAACAGGTCTCGGATACTGCCTACTGTTATTTCTTTTCTTCACTGAAATCTCTGTTTAAGTATTACATACATATTCATGCTATAGAGCGAACAGTGCAGTTGGCTTTTGATTGTCACGTTGGAAACACGGCAGTGTTTGTTTGAGAACGAAATGAACTGCTGTGCCCAATCCCGTGACTAAGTACCATTACCTATAGTGATAATGAGTTAACGAAAATGTCGGTACCTGCTTCACGGGTCGATACAACCCGTCACGTTTTATCCAAGAATATTATAGGGGGGAAAAAAACCCTGCAAGTCTACGGGTTTCATTACCATTCGTGCTTTAGCTACTGATATTTTAATGATCGCCTCTAGTCACCGAATTTACTCTTCATTTATGTTGTTGAAAGCTCAGACTTGTTAAGGAATAAAACATAAACAAAAGTATTGAAATTTCAAACGAAACGCGTAAAAAACAAACAAACTATAACTCCGTATGCTAGTGAAAATATCAGTTCATGACTTTTCGCACTTATATTAGAGGTGGAACAGAATATCCTGGGCCTTGAGTGTTAGTATACCTTATGAATGATGGTGTTGTGTGTTAGTATACCTTATCAATGATGGTGTTGTGTGTTAGTATACCTTATCAGGGATGGTGTTGTGTGTTAGTATACCTTATGAATGATGGTGTTGTGTGTTACTATACCTTATCAGGGATGGTGTTGTGTGTTAGTATACCTTATCAATGATGGTGTTGTGTGTTAGTATACCTTATCAGGGATGGTGTTGTGTGTACAGTATACCTTATCAGGGATGGTGGTGTGTGTTAGTATACCTTATCAGGGATGGTGGTGTGTGTTAGTATACCTTATCAGGGATGGTGGTGTGTGTTAGTATACCTTATCAATGATGGTGTTGTGTGTTAGTATACCTTATCAGGGATGGTGTTGTGTGTTAGTATACCTTATCAGGGATGGTGTTGTGTGTTAGTATACCTTATCAATGATGGTGTTGTGTGTCAGTATACCTTATCAGGGATGATGTTGTAACATTCACTTCAGCATCAGTTCTCGACTTTAGAAATGTATCGCTGAAAATAAATGTTAATAATACTTTTACCTTGTCAAATGTAAATTAATAGCCATGCTATAAAAATTAATTTACTGAATTTACGTTCTATTGTTTGTACCGTCAATGAATATGTGGTTGGTTTTACTTAACAGTACCACAGTGAACTTAGAAATAAATAAATAAAACTATCAAATAAGTCTTTGACTCCAGCACCTTCGAGAAAAGAACGTGATCCTGCTTTAGCAAGCATTAAGTAAGTAGGATTAAGTCACGTTAGGCCTAGTTTTCATGAACTAATATGATATTACGTGCTGAATCGAAGGACTTGTTAAATCAGATAAATGTTTGAGTTTAGAGCTTTCGTACAATATTTATCATACCTACATAAAGAGATAGAAATAACGTTTCTTAGGATTAATAAGTTCAAAACACACGACTGTATGCAGTTATTTTACATCTGACCTATATATACATTTAATAGCTTACTTTTAATCTTAATAACTTCGATATAGACGTACATACGTACTCTGAACATACGCTGGATATTATAAATGTGTACCATATATCTACGTTGATGTCTATATGATAATTATATCATTACCATCATCTGG